AATGAACCTGTAATTACACACTTAATATTCAGAGGAGGGGTATGGAACTGATTTTCACCTAAATTACAGAGCTACTGTATTGCAGGCAGACTAAAATTGTAGTATGCATTACGTTTGATACATGACACAAGGATTAATAATTCTTCTCTTGCAAAAAGTGCCCTGAGGTTCTCTCTTTTTTGCAATATGGACAACACTTCAATGTAAGCAATTTTATAGTGCTTTATAATGTACAGCACTGGCCAGTGGCACTCATATTAACAGGACATTTTTTCAGTGTAACCATGTGACTGAGACAGCCCAATGCCAGACAGGAACTCTAACAAACTTGTGTGCTTCCCTGTCAAACCATGATCTGTTTGCCCACTTCAAGGCACTCCATCAGCATGCATTGAGACTCTTGGTCTATGATAAGGGCAAATTGCACTGTAGCTTTTATGTGGAGTTTTTTGTTCTCTGGTTCATTTATGTTGTGGTGCTTAAAGTCAAACTGTAACATATAGTTCTGATTTGTGAAAACGCTTATGAGAAAGCTACAAGAGCCACATGCCAGGAGGAAAAGAATCACTCCAATGTTTCTTCTCATTTTTGTTTATATTCAGGGGTTTCCACTATAGTATCTGTATAACTACTCTAATGAAAATGCTTTCTGCTTTGACTTCAATTTAAATCCATTATCTCTGGGACTTGCACAGCCAGAGGTTCTATTTTCTTATTCATTAAAACTAATGAAGCCTTAGTTAAAAATATGGCAACAGTTTGTTGTTCTAATTTCCTTCTTCTACAAGGCTCTTACCAAACAGCAGCTTGGTTTCTTGATTTAAGTGGAGGCTATTGCTATCTAAATGTAATCTAGAGCTCTGACAGGGTGGTATGTGTGGACTTTCCTTTCCACAACAAATGTGGCAATTTTCAGCATCATTTTTCACGAAAAGAGAAAGGTAATAATGAACTTCAAATCCTATATTGTGAGTAGATCTTTAGTACCCCTACACATGCACACAGATACTGTTTATTATAGTCAGCCTGAGCTGAAAAAGCTGGCTTCTTTTTAAAAACCTCACTTCATGTGTTTGCAAAAAAGTACACACTGAATATAAACTACTCAGATACTAGTCTGCAGCAATCAAATATTGCCAATGCAGGACCCACTATAATGCAGAGACCAGAGCTATGCAGTGCTGAAGATTGTTTTATTACCAGAATAATTTCAACAAGTTGATGATTCTTTATTTTAAGAAGATAAGGATCAATAGGAAAAAGGGCTTGTCATGGAGATCAAGGCATTCTCGACAAAAATAGAAAGAACACAAAAGAAACCATGCAAACAGGGACGTTTGACTGAACTATTTTAAACGTAATGTAAAATGTTATCTTAAAAAAAAACCCAAACTGTACTATTCAGTACTCAAACTGCAGATAACAATGGTCCATTGCTCAACTGTCAGCAAAAATGAATGGATTTCGATCGTTGTGAGGTGATAGTCTTCCTGGAGGCTTTTTTGAGTTTTATTTCTTTGTTTTTGCTTTTTGTTGTCTGATTTTTTTTTTTATAGAAAGAGAAAAAAAAGAATCGTGATGACAGAGAGGAGAGACACAGAGTGACTGAATATAGGGATGGCTTGTGAGACTTGGCCTGCAACTCTTTGAGCTGCACCACAAATCACTTAACTGAAGTCATTTGTGTCAGTACTTAGTCCAGTCCTGCCCTGGTGATAAATTTTCCTTTGGGGGTAAAAATTTTGTTCTATTATCTGAGACCTATTGTGTGTTCTCCATTTATTTTTCAATTCCTGTACATTCACAAGCTGGGCAGATGGAATGGTGAAACTGCAGCTACTGCGATAGTCTATTATGCAAAATCAGCATCTAGAGGTTGGAAAATCAGAAATTTTAATCTGAAATTGCTACTGCAAAGTCATTTATGATAGAATCTGAGTTTTATATTTCAGCTGAATGAGAGTACTAGTAGGTTCAGTATTCTCACAGTGTAACAATGGAAAAGCTGCAGTTTGAACCAGGAATGAACCAATAACAAAACTTTTACCTTAAACTACTGTATCAGTTATACAGTATGCTACATACCATCTCCAAGAACACCAGTCACATCAGGAAGAATTATATTTGAAAGGCGGTAAAAACTAAAATTATACAATTAGAAAAATATAATTAATCCATCCAATTCTTACTGCCTCACCCAATTCAGGGTTGTGGGGAAGCCTATCCTGGCAAGCAATAGGCACGAGATGTGATACACTCAGACTCATGACACTGGTACAGACACAGATACAGACTGGCATTTACAGTACTCACACCAGAAGCCAGTTAACTCCCAGTATGTCTTTGGACTGTTAGAGGAAACAGGAGCCCCCAGAGAAAACTCATGCAATCAAGGGGAGAACATACAGACTCCACACAGATAGCACCTCAGGTCCAGAATTCAACCAAGAGCCCCAATGCTGCGGTACAGCAATGCTAACCACCACATCACTGTGCTACCCAAAAAAGTAGAACCAAAAGAAAATTCAGTTAAATTTGATAATAAACCAGAGCCACAGTATTTAAAACAGTGAAAGTCAATACTTCTTACCAAGCAAGCTGAGAGCAAGTGACTTAGTATTGCATAAATTAGGTTATCAGAGAAAAAGGACTTCAGTCCAGCAGGAAACAAGATTAAATCCTCTATTCCTGTGAGGATATCTCCCGGCTTTGTTCTACTCTCAGTAAGAATTTAATAGTGTCTGCAGCACCAGGTATCTACAGAAGTAAGTAGAATAGGCAGGAGGCAGTCATTGCGTAGGTGCAGACATAATTTCAAATCACAAACAATAACCCCCAAGGTACTATTTAATAGCTGCAGTCTTTCCAGTTCAGCTCGTGTCTCCCCCTCCCCTCCCCCTTACAGTCTCCCTCTTTCTCTCCTCCATGTGTCAAGGTTGGTGTTTGAATAACAGGGACGGAATGACAGAGGCCAGTAGACCCCAATGCTGGCCTTGAACCACAAAAGGGCAGTAAACAGAGGAGAGCGGAGCACAACAGTGAGAGGTGGGGGGAGAGAAAGCAAGAGAGCAGGAAAGAGGAGGGAGACAGAAGGAGAATGCAAGAGCCATGGTGAAGGATAGAGAAAAGATGAGGGAGAGAGAGGAAGAGTGATCAGTGATCCTAATCACTAATAGCCGTCTGCTGGAGCGATGACTGCACATAGGCTGAATAAAGAATCCAGGCAGGTTGCTGTGGAGCCCAGCTCATAGAGAGGCGAGCTGTGTCACACACTCACACACACATACCCTGCCTCATCTGCAGCCAAGACCTTGCAGACCAATGACAGGCAGTGGGAACCCAGGGCTCCCCTTTTTCCCTTCGTGCCACTAAATGAGGAGGAGGGGTCATTCTCCTGTTTACCTAGGAGATAAAAGCAGAGGGTGTAGTAAACCCAAGAAAATAGAATTTACCAGCGCAGTCCTAAGGATTTCTACACTTTCTTCTTCTTAATAACAGCTATAAAAAGCTATTAATCCATCAAAATGGAGTACATTTTCCACAGGTTTTTACCTCACTAGGATTAGCAAGACCCTATAGTATGATACTTACTGTACAATGCTGCTTTCATGTACTGTATCTGTTACTGCATGGTATTATCCTTATGCTGTTACACTGTATTCTTCGTGATTTAGTGTATTTTCTTTGATATATGATACTATCTATTTTGTTTAAGCTATAGCCCCTTATTGTATTTATTAAAAGGCAGTTGCGAATCACTATTATAAGGGTGTCTGCTAAACAAGTAAACATTAAAGTTGCTAACAAGAAGTAAAAATTACTGGTACTCCTCTGACATCCACTTTGTCACCTGAGAAAATCTTAACTGCATCAGACCCAGACATATCACAACTATCTTCACTTGTCTTCAATGCCACAAACATTTAATCTGAAAAGCAATGTTTCTTTAAACAAAATGACCATATCCCATTTGGACTCAAGGTAACAACAACAACACAACTAGTCTCTGGGGTTGCCTTGCTTTTCTACATTTCGGGTTTTCCTCAACAATTGTAAGGGGACATGAGACTATTTTGAGATTTCATTCATTACAGACAGCAGAGCAAAGTCTATGGAGCTTTCTTGTGTATTACTCTCAAATCACCCACCTACACAACACAGCAATCTACAGCTGCTGTATTTCAGCACAGCCTGCAATAAGAAATTTAAAATAAATGAACTACAGAGGACTGGAAAAGTACAATATAATCCATAGAACAGCTCTGAAACACTGTGAAATTTGTTTTCGCTGTTTGTGCAATGACAATGCAAGTCTATTGTCATACTTCAAGCACAATAAAACTAATAAACTGTTTAGGTTTCATTGCAATAGTTTTCAGTGCTTTTTCCAAACTGTACAACTGAAGGTTTTCTGATCTATAAAATCGTGGAGCAAGCTTTTCATAGCTTGTACAGTGTCATACCAAACCGCTCTCTCTCAACCTTTCCACTTGCATGTGGTATTATTAGAAATATGGTATTATTAGACACGCAGAGTTAATGGAGTAAAATGGGTATGTACTGTACATAGACATACTGTAGATCTATTTGCCATCATTGCAAGTTCTGTAACAAATGTAAAAACTCTGATCATGTCATGTTTACAAATGCCGGCTTTCTACAACAGTTAGCACAACAGTTATAGGATTAGTGCAAAATACACTGTATGTGCCAAGGGGAGAAAACGGGAGATTTTATTGCAAGTAATCTAAAATCCTGTCATTGGTAGTTTCTCTGTGTGTATGTGGTGGGGTGTTACAGTATGTTATTAGAATATCAATACCTTTGCACCCTGAAATAATAACATACAGTACCAGTTAATTGTTCATTTCTACGCTTAAAAGAAAGAAAATAAAATAAAGGTACAATATAGGACAGGCACTTGGATCCATTTTTTCGTGGCTAAAGCAATATATTCAAGCGCCCGAACGGACGCGTTCTATTAATGTGAGAGAGGGAGATTGAGAGGGAGGGAGTAAAGGGAGAAAAAGGAATGAGTCACTTTGGAGTTTATTTTCTTTAAGAGAAAATAGTAGCAGAGGAGGTTCTGATTGAATATGACGTTTCCCAACGAAGAGGGAATCGAAGTACTTGACCAGTTTACTCGGCGCACACCGACACTGAATGCGACCGGAGAGACTAGAGGCGAGGTGGCACTGTTCGGTGCTTGACTTATAGGAATTATTGGACATTGTTGGGCTGTTTTCCCCTTTTCCTACACCGGGGTGCACTAATAACGGCACTTTCACAGTTTAGTTTACCTCCAGTTCACTTTTATTTTATTATCGATATTCATGAATACAAAAGGTTTTTGAGGACGTGCTTCGGACGTACTGTATGGACGCAATGACCGGAGAAAAACAAGGTAGGCTAATAAAACTAAGTGCAATCGTGTCTGGAATTTAACGTCTGCCTTCGAGTAATAATTTACATACCAGTCTTGGCTCTAAGAAATAAAAATGGAAGTTAGAACTGATACGCTTTGTGGTTGTCAGTTCGGTGCTAGGGAAATAGACTGCAGTCTGCTATAGGAGTACAAAAGGCATTGGAATTGTACTGAGGTTATCCCGCAGTTTATGAGACCCTTTTTATTTTGAACAGTGAAGGCTATATGCTATAGGCTACTTTTAAAACTGGACTACATTTATATTCATATTAACATGCAAGGTGAAAAATGTCAATTATATACCTAATTCATTTGAGCATTGAATGCACAGTATAGATAACATACACGATACCGTTTAATAGTTAAAATATAACCACTTTAATAAGAACATATTATCATTTGAGTAGTAATTGTAGTAATGTAGGTTATTATGAATGTACACTTTTCAACGCTACATTCTTTTACTGTACACGGTGAATATTTTCCGTTATACAAGTGCTTTTCAACTCTTATTCGAACTACTACTCTGTCAGCGTGTTAACATGTACTGTATAGCAGACTCAGGGTGTTAGCAAATGAGTACTGCTTTTTTTAACTAAGAGGGGTCTGCACATTCTAATCTTGATTTATGTTAAAATTTAAACTAATACAGATTACTGGTTAAAATGCCATTTTATAAGTTTTACTGTATTTTTTTAACAAAGGTTCTTAGATTTAAGAATACAAGTATTGGTATTTTGCACAGAATTTATTTTCGAAATGAGCTTTTCATACATAAATTCAGCTGAACACCTTTGCATCATATGTAATTCTTGTACATGCTTTTACTTGGCTACCTTTTTCTGAAAACCAATGTTTTTATTCCAAAATACACGCGTTAACAGAAACTTCGGACGCACGTAGATTTGACGGTTATCTGACTAGATTTCAGCAAAAACTACCGGTACATCAGTATATTTTCCACTGTGTTCATGTCTTTGCGACAATTTACATTTTCAAATTTCCTGGCTCATTTAATTTCATCAGCCTTTGCAGTGAAATCACTGTAGCCTGTCCTTCAAGAAATACAACACATCCCCGTTTTCACTCTGTTAAACAGTGATTATCCGCCAGGGGGACTGCATGCAGCTTCATTTCTTGGCATTAGGGGGAAAAAAAAACTACATTTCACAAGGAGCGGTAAACAGGTATTAACGATACACCACGCTGTCAATGAACGCTAATTGCGATATTCATTCATGAACAATCCATGAGAGACGGGAAAACAATGTTAATTGTATATTGTATAATCAAGTCCCAGTAAATACAAGCCCCTGTTGTACAGTACAGTATGTACATGTAGACTATACCTCACAGGTGGTCATCCTTGATAAGGTCTCCGCAACAGTGCACTTCACAGGTCGAAATCGCCAAATGCCTTTGAAGAAGTAGTCACTTCCACTATTACACTTTTAGGAATTATATCATACCCTGTTGTAACCTAGCAATGGATTGTGTTGTTAAAAAAAAACAGAAGCTTTGCAATCATTTGGGAACGGAATCTCATGTCCTCTATACTGTATGCTCAATACACAAGGTGAATAGTGACAGTACACCGAGCACCTGACATACAGTATTTTAAATGATTAATGATAATCACTGAATACATTTAACGAGGGAAGATAGGCGGACTTTGTTGGTCGCAGCAGTTCTTAGAATTCAATAAGAAACCGGTTCAGACCGTGAAGTCTCTTTACAGAAAAACACGAAACATGTTTCTTAAAACGTTACTTTAAATTCAGTTACCTTTATTAATTTAGTATTGATGAGAAATATTTTGCATTTATACATCCTTAAGTTCTGGTTGCTACCCTTCGACTAAAAAAACTAACATTGAATAAAACGAGGAGAGAAATCGACTTAATCAGTGTAGTAAACATGACTATAATTCCAAAAAAGTATGCTATTTAAAATATTTACGGGGGGACACGTATAAAAGATGATTGGTAGAACTCGGGAGCATTCGAAATGTTAATGCTAAGAAATCTTTCTCAGTCGGCGACTTAAGAAGGTAAACAGGCCGTGCGCTTATCTGTCACAGTACACATCATACTGTATATTCACCCGAGGTTTTCTTTCAGAAAATTAAAGCTGAAAGGGAAATACTGTATTAGTGCATCATAGTTAACAGAAGTACGTTATGTTAAAAAAAACACATTTTTCAATGTATTGTAAGGAACGAAGCAAATTAAAACTGTTACGTTAGCGTCAAAGTAAAAATGTAAAGCATGCAATTTTCTGAATTTCTGTGTCGGATTCTCACAGAACGGTTTTCATGAAATGCTTTATTATGTCACAGTATGTCACTGTACCAGGCAAATGATTTAATGCTCCTGGCGAGTGACAGATATATTAATAAAACGAATGTAGTACTTTAAATCCTTTAACTGTCGTACAAATTATGAAATATTCTACAAACAACATGCCTCATTTTCTGCACATATTTTATAAGAATTTGATTTCATTTATAAAATGGTATTTTTTAGAACCCCATGTCTTACTCTGCGTCTCTTTGAAATTTGTCACTGAGGTACAGTATCATTATGAGCGCAGGGCGTCAGTGATATGATTATGGTGCATCATGTTATCATCAAGAATTATAGTTCGTCATATCCCGAATTCTGCCGGTGGAGCTCCTGCCTAGGCAACCCACGGATTTTAAGAGGACTCCAAATGTTATGTTCACATCTTATCTGATCGTATAAATCGTTAAAGACTACAAACGGCATCTCCCTCAGGGTAACGAATCAATGTTCGGCAATAAGAGGCCAAAAGACTAACAATCTGTTTATTGTCCTAACCTCTATCTCTAGTTTGTTCAAAGATACTCGGCCCTACGCTAAAAAAAATCATCCATGCTTATTATATCCTTTTCATCCCTCCACAGCCCCACCCCCTATTTACATTTTTTCCAAAGAGAACTGAAAATTTCCCATATTTATTTTTTCACTTCAGTAAGAGAGCCCTTGTTGTGGACTTTCCGCTTTACAGGGGAACCATTATTTCTACAATTGTTATTGTAGAAATAAATAATTAAGCTTTTTATAGTGAGGCCCACTGGGATTTCAAGAAAAGCCTGATAATAGAAGAGCCATAATTAGGATTCACTACAGGAACAAACACAAAATGGTTGTACCAGCCCATATTTGGTTGTTATTCATACAGTATGCTATTGTTTTTCGCAGATTCCTGCATCTAATGCAACCTAAAGTGGCCTGAGGTATTTAAGAAAAAGAAAATGATACATGGAACATAATTACCATTAACAAAATAAAAATCTTAATCACAGAACATTGCAAGTCGATCGATGTCAACTTGATCCACTTCAAAATCCTCTTGGAGATTAGATACATTTTTGTTGTTGTTTAAAATTAAATCCTGGGCTACTTCATTTATAAAACATCTGTATGGGCATGTTAGCATGTAGTATTTGTTTTTTATATACTGTATGCATAACAATATAATTATTCAGGTGGATAGCTGCGTCAGCATGCGTAGGCTGCAAAGGAACAAGTAATAGGTTTATTCCATGCTGAAAAAAATAAGGAAGAAAACACAAAGTTTCAACCGTGGAGCCTTCTTCAGGTGTCTGAGAAGGCTCCACGGCTGAAACGTTGTGTTTTCTTTCTTCTTTTTTTCAGCATGGAATAAACCTATTACTTGTTCCTTTACAATATAATTATGTTATAAGTTACCAGACTCTGGTAAAAAGCAAACTCTTACAACCATTCCAGTAAAGTATAGTTAGTTGGACACGTAAAGTAAGCACGCTGTTATTCACTTCATAACCACCAGTCTCAGATACACTACATCAGCAGCTGTGATGTTGAGAGATATTTCGCTGTGAATAAACACAAATGATGTGTTACAAGAGAAGCTGCTGTGCTGAATGCAAATGTACATACAATCTGATCTGTTCATATTCTTGGCTACACCAATTCCCTCCTCTTCTTGGGACTGCAGAGCAGTAAGGCAACACGAGGTCAGCCTGTGGCTAATCATGTGTGAGAGAGGAGGGCAGTGAGATCTCCTCCACCATCCCTCAACTGTCTTACCACCCCACGTTATCCACAATGTCTGTGACCCAGCCCAGTTCCCTTTTAAAAAAAGAAACTTAAGTAATAACAATAAAAAATGATGATTGTTTTACATGGTCGACAAGACCTGATTTTATTGGTACTGTATAGCTGGTAAGCAAATTAAAGAGAAAAGGCCAGGCATAAAAGGATTTTGAATTCAGAGATCAGCGTGTCAGCTGTCCAGCATGTGTTTTGCTTCTGTGGCTTTTGCCCTCTGTTTTTTTTCCCATGCTGTGAAGGACAAGACAATTTCCATTTTCTGTATTACGGTTTACCTCAAGCCTGGTTTAAAAAATTGGCTTGCATTCTGGCAGATGGCATGGTGGCGCAGTGATTAGAATTGCTACTCCAAAGTGGTGAAGGCCTGGGTTCAATTCCTGTGGTTCGATCTGCATGGTGTAAGCACATTCTCCCCATGTTTGTGTGGGATTCCTCGCACAGTCCACAGATGTGGTGGTAGGTTAATTGTCTTTTGTAAAATTGGCCGTCTGTGTGTGCCCTGTAATGGAATGGACTCCTGTCCAGGGTGTATCCTGCCTTGTGCTCAATGCTTCTGTGGATAAGCTCCAGGCAACTGTAACACTGAATTGGTTGAGCAATTATTGAAAGTGATGTGATAATGAGGGCATGCTTTCTGGTGAAACTGGTCAAAATTACCCATTTGTTCCAGTTAATTAGTGCCAGAATTGGTAGTCTTAGATTTAATACTGCCCATCATGATATCACTCAGTATGAGTGATTAAGGTCATAGGACATACTATAAATGGCCGAAGTTGATCCCAATAAACAATTCACCCTGCAGGGTTGTCTCTTTGAGAAAAATGTAGTTTTATTCTCGTCTATGGATTTTCAATTACAGCA